AATAGTGTATGTGATGGAGAGTGACTGTAGTTAGTGGGCCCCCTTTAGCGAGGGAGAGCAGGAGAGTCCTCCTGGAGGAAAAGTTCAAGTAGACAGTCCAAGTAGAGTTCCATGAGAATTCTTCTGGAATTCTTCCCCATGCTCCATAGGGGAAGAAGAGGAAACAGCATTTGCAAAGGCTCAGAGCAGGGAAAGACCTTGGTGCACTAGAGGAAAGAACTGGAGGCCAGTATAGTGAGTAAGGGGAGAGTGGTACAGGATAACACTAGAGACGGGGATGAAAGCTGCTTCATCAGGGCCTTGTGGATTAGATACGGAGTTTGGATTTTATTTGAAGTTCAATGGGAAGTGGTGTAATGAGGAGTCATAGTTAAAAGGTCACTCCCTAACTGCTGTGTACAAAATGAATGGTAGGTGTGCAAGGGTGGAAGTAGGGAGTCCAGTTAGGAGGCTGTTGTGGGCATCCAGCGTGTGTGTGTGTGTGTGTGTGTGTGTGTGTGTGTGTGTGTGTGTGTGTGTGTGTGTGTATGTGTGTGTATCTTTGAGAGATATTTTGAAGACAGAATCGTCTGGATTTGGTGATGTGGATGTGGAGGGTGAGTGGAAGTCAAAGTTTTTCGCTTGAGCAGCAGGGTGGATGGTGGCGCCATCTAGTGAGAAAAGGAAGACTACAGGAAGAACAGGTTTAGGAAGACTCAAAAGTTCCCGCTCTGGAATGGTGAGTTTGAGTGTTTATGTCACCTCCAAGTGGATATGTCTATGAGGCAGTTGCACAAATGGGCTTAAAGCTTATGAACAAGGTCAGGGCTGGAAATAGAGATTTGTGAATCGCCAACAAATGTATGGTTATTAAAATCAAGGACCAGCTGATGCTACTGTGAAAGAGAGAGAGATTAGGATTAAGCCCCAAAGAACTCTGATGTTCATTAATTTGGCAAACATTTATGGAATCTCTTTGTATGAAACCTATGTAGGGTCTGGGAATACAGTGAGAAATAAGGTAGCACTCAAGGGACTCAACCTAGCAGAGGAGCAGGAGTTGATCCAGGTTTTGTGGGGTATGACACTCTTTAAGAAAAGGAATATAAAACTGTTGCTACAAAATTAAATATGAGGCCTCAGGGTTTGTGAGGGGAGAGATGGGCCCTGAAGTTTAAGCTTCATCAGCTCTGTGGTAAATCCCCCTTAGTGGGGAAGACAGAAAAGTAAAAGTAATATTTAGCATATCATGTGTAATGATATAGGTAAGCGCTGAGGGATTTAGCACTGCCGAGAGTGGACATCTCAACAAAAGTCAGGGAAGGCTTCCTAAGGGAGGTGATTCTTAGCTGGATCTTGAAGGACAAGCCAGGGGTTAGCTGACTGAAGAAGGGATAGAAGTCTCCTAGGCATGTATAAAGGCCAGGGGAATGAGAGAGGGTGATGAGACTATAGCTGCACTGTCCAGTATGGGAGCCACTAGCTACATGTAGCTACTGAGTTCTTGACATAGGGCTAGTCTGAATTGAGATGTGCTGTAAGTATGAAATATACATTGGGTATATTAGTATGAAAAAAAAGGTAAAATAGCTCATTGATATTTTTATATTAATTACATGTTGAATTATAATTCTGATATATTGGATTAAATAAAGTACATTATTAAAATTAATTTCACCTGTTTCTTTTACTGTTTAAAAATGTGGCTACTAAAAAAATTAAAATTACATGTGTGGCTTGCGTTCTGTTGCTATTGGACAGCACTGAACTGGAGGTAAGCAGGAAGCTGGAATATGCTCAGCTAAGGAGTGTGGACTCCCTCCTGAGGACACTGAGCCCCCAGGGTGCAGGGGAGGGACATGATGTGCTTTGCTTAGAAAATCACTCTGGGTGAAGAGTGAGTGAGGAACCAGAATAGGAACAGTCCAGGAGTCAGGAGGCTGTTGCAGCATTGTAGGCAGGAGAATAGAGAAATGAGGCCAAATTTGAGGACTTTCAGGAACTAGATCTGACAGTTGTAGATGAGCTGTGAGGAAGCGAGGAGGAATTTGGGCAGACTTTTGGGTTTCCAGCCCGGACAGGTGAGTGGATCAGGGTGCTAGACTGTATTCAATGAAGGTAGGACTCAACCAGGCATTCAGTAAATCTTTGTTGAATGAGTGTTTAAAAAAACACACAGACCAGAATGTGCAGTTCAGGAACTGTGTCATGGGTGGTCTAGAAAGGGAGAGGTCAATGATTAACTGCTACATCAGTGGGAGATAGGAATTGGAGGTCAGGAGGACAAGCCCCCAAAGGGTTGCCCTGTTCACCAGCACAGGTTCCCATGAACGGCTGGCTGCAAATTATCCTGTTGCTCATCCTCATCAAGATGCATCACAGGTGTTGGGGGTTTGGCTGGCATGAAGACATCTTCTTTGGTTTCCTCAGCCCTCTGGTTAATTTTCATGAGCAGAGGGAGAAGGTGGGGTGATGGGGCTGAAGAAAGAGGAGGATGATTGGTGTAGTGTGAGAGGTGGATGTGGGAATGTGTTTGTAATAAGGGCATACTCTGAAAGCACCTACTTGCTGGTACCGCTACCCATATATGGACCCATCAGTCACACTCAAATGTAGACAGACATTTATATCCATTTACCTGAAATGTTAATAATATGAAACAGAGCCACTAGGAAATATAAATTTGACTTCATTTCCTTATTTATGCTTGGAAAAAGAAATGTGATTTAGTAAAAACAACAACACAAACAACCCTCTGAATAGAGATTAGGAGGTCAGGGGTTCTGTCACTATTGTTGTGGGTGTGGGCAAGTCACAGAATCTTTTCTGCATCTCAGTTTTGTCATCTGCCAAAATAGCAATAATAATACTAGCCTTGTCTGTTTCATAAAATTAATAATATGGAATGAGAAAATGCATGTGAAGGGCTTCAGAAAGTTAGAAACACATACTGAGGGTAGAAGATTTTGATATGTGCAACGAACAGTGAACCCGTAGAGAAGTATTTTGACTTAAATAAATCTGAATGGAAGAGAAATCATTAGGCATGTGCTTCGTGGGGCAAAAGTCAGTCTCTCCTGCCCTTTTGTGGACAGAACCAGCCATTCCAAAGGGTAGCCTGGCCTTTCGTATTTCTAAGAACTCATTGGGTGAGAGTTGGATGTGATAAATAGTGAGGTGGCTGGGCCAGTGGGGTTTGGTGCTGTAGCCTCCAATATCCCAGAATTGTGAAAGAGGGGATTTGTTCAGAAAATCCACAGTGCCCCCTTCATATTCAGATTGGTTATTTCTGCTTTGGTTCATTCATTTGTATGTTCGTCCATTTGTTCATTCATTCAACAGTGTGTATCCAAGCATTCAAACCTCTCCCATCCTTCAAAGATTATCCAAACTTCACTTACTTTCAGAAGGCTTCCGTGTCCATCCCAGCACAGCACCTTAATCTGTGCCTCTCATTTCTTCAGGCACATTCTGCTTTGTCATGTGTTCATGTTATCATTGGTCTCAATTCCTTTCTATAAGTAGAATCCATGCCCTAAACATCTTTGTATCCCTACAGCACTAGCACAGTGCCCGGTAAACAGCAGGTACTCAGAAATTAAGAACTGAATGAGTGAACAAATTGGGTGGATGGATGCGTGGGTGGCCCTGAATCAGGCAGTATTCTCTGTATTTTCTGTTCAGAGATGGGAGTGTAGCAAGTCCAGTTCTACTTCTGGCCGTGGAGGTTGGTGAGGTGGGCGAGGCAGTGGAAGGTGAAGACAATTACTGGGGGCAGCCATTGGTGACCCTGCTGCCTGAAGATGGCGCTAGAGGTCACTTGGCCTATCTACTCGTTGAGCTCTCCTTAATAACCGAGCATCTGCTGTGTACAAGACACTATGCCACAGGTTAGGGGAACAGAGATAACTATATCGTAGTTCAAAAAGACATGAAGTCTAGCTGGGTAGACAACTAATATGTGTGAACAGCGATGATTTCTTTAGAAGTTTGGATGGTGTTATGAGATAGTAAATGCAAAGTGGCAAGCTAGTGGTTCAGAGTAAATACTGTGGGTGTAATGATTCTTCATCTTGGACCTTCTAGGTCTGTCCCCTTCCCCAGCTGGCTGCCCTACAGCTTCCCCAGGACACTAGCAAGCACTTATTCGATTATAGAGCCAGATTTTTGGTATCACAAAATGTGTCCACTGTTGTCATACAGCTTTTGAGGAGAGAGGTATTGTAGAGAGCTGGAGTGAGGGCTGGGGTGGGGGTGAAAGGGGCCATTTGGGAAAACTTTATGTAAGAATTCACCCTGAATTTTCTGAAAAATTGGTAGGCATAGAGGAATGGAGAAGGCATTTTAGGCAGAGGGGAAAGGCATGAACAAGGGACTAGGAATTGGAATAGGTTAGGTATATGCAGGAGACTGTTCATTCATTCATTCATTCAACGAACGTTTTCTGAACTCTTGCTAAGTGCCAGGCAGTGTTCTCATGCTTGACATACAAGCATGTGTCATGAATGAAATAGTCTGCCTTCAAGATGCTAGTGGGACAGTCAATTTACTTGGGTTTGCCAACATACAAATAACATACAGATAGATTGGGGAAAGTGCTATGAAGGAAAAGGAGTCAATAAAAGAGAATTAGCTGGGCACCTTAGCTTCCCAGAGGAAGGTGACATGTAAGTGGGAAGTGGAGGAAAGAGGGTTCCAAACAGAGGAGGAGGGACCGTGTGATGAGGGTTTCGAGGTGGGTAAAGAGGATGGTGCATTTGAGAGACTGAAAGACAGCTGTAGCTGGTGTTACTGGACCTCAGTGAGTGGACACATTTGACTGGGAATACTGCATGCAGGCTGAAGCCAGACTGTGGAAGGCCAGGCTGGGGTGGTGGACATGTTAAAACATTTTCTGAGGCCAGGTTATCTGTGGGTGTGTTTCTGTGTTCCCACATGAGGGCTGCTTGGAGAGAGAGGGAAGTAGGGAGGAAGGGTGAGGGTCTCTCTGAACATCTTGTGATTCCTGTCCCTATTTGCAGCTGGGCGTTGGGACAGTTGTGGTGGATGAGCAGCAGGATAACAAGAAGCTGAAGGTGGGTGCCGTGTGGAGTCTTCCCAGTGGGGATACTGCAGGGTTTCAGAGGACAACCACAGACCCAGGGCGCTGTGGCCCTGATGCTGGGGATACTGGGCTGGGCTCAGACCTGGGAAGCTCCTAGGAACGCTGCCAGGGTGAGCCAGGGAAGGAGCCAGAGGAACTGTCACCTCCAGGTGGCCTTGGAGGAGGTGCTAGCTTGGGAGCTAAGTCCAGAATGTCACTGCTCACTGCCTGTGTGAACTTGGGCCTCAGATTCTGCATCAGTAGAATGACTGGACTAGATGAACTCAAGTCTCATTTTGTAGACCCAACACTCTATGATTGATCTAGAAGCCTAATTACCTGCGGCTTTGGAATGCCCCAGAACTAAGAGAAACATACGAAGGGTGGGGCGGGGAGATCTGAGGTTTCTGAAAAACTGTCTTAGCTGTCTTTGGCCTGTGGGCATTTGGGAAGAAGTGGGGACCTTAGAGAGAAGAGGCCAGGGTCTGCATGAAACCTCCCCCATCCTACGAAAATCCGTAAGCCTGTTGTGAAGTATTGTGTTACCATAGCCACTAGATGGCAGAAGAGTTCAGATCCAAAGGGTTGGTTGGTAGGGAGGGAGGGACCAAGCAAGCAGTTTGTCTGACTTTGGATGTTCCCTTGTAAGTCAGATGATGTTTCTATGTGTGTCGCTATTGTAATTAAAAAAAAAAAAAAAAATTCAACTGAGTAAGTTTAAAGATCAAATCAGCTTTATTCAACGATTCATGAATTGGCCAGCATCCCATCTAGCAAATAGAAAGGAGTTCCAGGTGTTTCAGGCAAGGTCACCTTCCTTTGGGGGACAGCAGGGGTCTGTGGGGTAGATTACCTCACTAGTGTGCTAACCAGTTAATTCCAGACTGACTGGTTAAGAGTCCATTCCCGGGAGGGGCTGAAACTGCAGTTAGGTATTTTATGTTTCGGTTTGGTGATGTGGGCAGAGTACAAGTGACTCCATTTTGGACCTGTTGTCTCTTTTTTAGCACTGTGAATGAATGTGTGTCACATCCGTGTGTCTGCACATACAGATGTGTGTATGTGTGTGCCTGTGAAGGTCTCTTGAGCATGTGGGTAGAAAAGAAAGGGCTGGAATCAGAAGACCTGGGTGCTGGTCTTGACTCCTTCATTTATGACCTTGGATAAGCCACCCAGCCTTGTTGAGTTTTCATTTCTTTTTCTGTAGGTGGGGATCAAAGCCTTGCTTATGTCTGGGGGTGGGGCAGTGATAAAGCACCATGACGCTCTTTGTGGACTGTAAGGGGCTGTGCCCATGTACCGTGGGGCTGTCTGTGAGGTGTATGGGTGAGAGTGTTTCTTTGAGGATGTACTTGCAGGGATGGACAAACCCTCAGTAATGTGGTGTCCTTAATACACGTTGTCTGCTCCCTGTCAAAGAGCTTGGGGAATGACTTGGTGTGTAGAATTAGCCAGTCATGGAAGAGTTGAGGGGAGGCTGAGAAAGAAAGCACTGTAACTGTCCTGTTGAGGTGAAGGAAGACGGGGTGCCAGGATAAGGCTCCTGTGCTTCTGGCCTGATCTTTATAGGAGGGAGGAGGGTTAGTGAGGCGCCCGTGCGGCTCCTCCCTCGGCTTGGGCAGAGGCCCGCTGAGGCCTGCGCGGCTCTCTCCTGCTTAGCTCGCGTCCGTGCTGACCCAAGGGAGCAGCTTGGCCTCTCTGCACAACAGCACCATCTGCAGCACCATCTACCAGCTCATGCTCCGCAGCCTGGACACTCTGGGGGAAGGTAAGCAAGGTCTGCCCAGATCTGCGTGGTCTCCCTGTCCACTCCTTCCCTCCTGCAGCTGAACAAGAACTGGGACTGCAAAACTGAGAGGCAGCAGGTGGAGTGAGGGTGGGAGTGGGAAGAGAGTTAGCAGAAGAGAGAGGGTGGTAGAGGCAGGCAGTCTGGGAAGACCCACCAGGAGAGGGCCCCGAGGAGCTAAGGTCCTTAGGTATCCACATCCCACTACCTCCCTGTCTCCGTGTTCCTCCTGTAAAATGAAAGGGTTCATCTGCAGTGAGTGAGGCCATGAGTGTCATGTGCCCTGCACTGGTCTGTGTTGGGGCTGCCCTCCGTGACTTTCCTGCAGAGCCCACCCCCATGAGTCAGCCCCAGTGTTCCACAGAGTCTCCAGCAAGATAGTGTGGCCAGGGCTGCATCTGGGGGCATCACCTGCGGGGCCCCACAGCTGGAAGCTCTGGATGGTGCCTCCCTTTGCTCTGAGTCCTAGGAAGTCTGCTGACCCCTCCCCCAGCCAGATATCCCAAAGGACACCCTGGGGGCCACCAGGACCACTTCTGGGCGTGGTGAGGGTCCAAAGTATAGTGGGAGCTGATGCCCAAGTTGACAAATGATGGAGGCAGCTGAGATCCTCACCACCCACTTTACTGAGCCCTGCCTTCTGCTCCGCTTCCCCAGAGAGCTACCTCCAACAGGCTTCGTAGGCCCCTAAAGGGCATCCTCAGGTATGCTTCTCTTCTCCTTGGGCACCTCTGTCTCTGGGACACTGCTGCAGAACTGGAGCGCCAGCAGGAGGCCCATCAAGGAAAGGTTGGCCTTTGGGCGGAAGCCAAGGAGTTGGAGTGCAGCTGGGCAGGAGGCTGAGGACTGAGCCGAATATGACACCAGAGACTGATCCATGAGTCCCAGGGACAAATTTTAGGGACCTCAGAATTTCTCAGGCCCTGAAGCATCTTCTTCACATATGATACTGGGTTGTTGGTTGTTTAAAACAAGCATATGGTCAAAGACGAGGTGATCAAACCTTCCCTAGAAAATCCTCACGAGGAGCTTCTGCAGATATTGGGAGAGGCCACCCCCCTGTCAGCTCCAGAAAAAGAGTACCCCTGGGGTTTCAAGAGTGGAGTCTGCAGCACTGGGCAGCCTGTGGGTGATCAGTGCTGGGGGCGTATCTGGCCTGGGCACAGTGAAGGAAGCTGTATCCCTGGGTTAGGCCTGGCCCTCCTCGTGGAATCACTGACTCAGCAAAGTCTTAAAGATAAAGACCTTCTCCTGGATGGGACTGCAGGGCCCCCTGCCTGGGCCACTTCCATGAGCAGCAGCCATCTGCTGGCTTGTCCTAACAGGATTATGTGATGTCCAGGCCATGTCCAGGCCAGGCTGAGGTCAGAGGAGATTGATACTAAGGAGATGATCCAGCCGCGCTGAGCGTTGAGAGGCCATGTAAGGAAACAAGCGCTGGGGGAGCCAGTGGCAATTATTCCCAGGAAGACAAGCACGCTTGGTACCCTGTGTGGGTGTGCGGCGGGTATGGAATGGCCCTCCCAGGGAATGATTGCTTATGTGCCTGGGATGCAGTCCTGCTCAGAGAAGCTGGCCCTGATCCTGCACCCTGAGATTCCATCCAGGAAGGGCTGGGATCAGGCAGGGCTGGGATGAAGGCCTTTGTTCCCGACACTTTGCAGATACATGTTTGTGTTTCCGTATGCTCTTTCCAGATGGCTATCCAGATGTTTCCGCCCTTTCCAAGCAATGAACTCTCTCCACAGAGCTGATCCATGGTCTGAACTCTTACCCTGGGTAGGGGCTTTACCTCTCCAGAATCCCATGCTTCTTCTGGTGATTTCACTCACACATGTGCGTGTGTATATGAGAGAGACAAAGAAAGAGACAGAGGTAGAAAGAAACAGAGAGAGGCCCTTCAGCAAACCTGCTTTCCTCAGTGGCATGGGAAATGAGAGGTTAGGGCGTGTGATGAGGAAGGAGAAGGAAAGAGGGGAACTTGGTTTTCTTGCCAGCTCCTCCAACCAACAGTCAGCAGGTATTCTCAGCACCAGGCCTGGAACCAGGGGAGCCCTTCGAAAAATTATGTGTTGTTCAACAGAAGACTGCAGTGCTTGATCAGTGCCAAGGGGGCTGGAGCGGTCTGCATGAGGTAGGCAGTGGAGTGCCCACCACCTGACATCTCAGTTCTGACGGGACCCGCTGAGCAGGCCCACCAGGACACTTCGAGGGACCACACTTGCCAGAGTGATGGCTCTGCAGGATGGAGCCTATTGCCAGAGGCAGCTGCAGCTCAACCAGCCTGATTGTTTAGGAGACAGGTTGAGAGAAGGAAACTCCAGACCTGCTTTTGTGTCCTGCCCATCCTGGACCCAGGCAGAGTTTGATTCCCAAACCTTCACAGTTTGCCTGTATTATGGACTAGAGGATCTTCAGGGTCCCTTCTAACTCAAACCCTCTGGAATGCTGGGCCTCAGCAGTGCAGAGTTGCTTCCTGGGTGGAACAGCTGCTCTCAACTACTATCGTCAACTCATCATTGTCGTCATAGCTAAAACTTATGTAGTATTTTCTGGGTGTCAGGCACTGGCTTAAGCACATTCATATATAAATTCATTTATTCCTTCAACAACTCTGTAAGATTTTTTTTCTTTTTGGGCTGCGTTGGGTCTTCGTTGCTGCTTGCAGGCTTTCTCTAGTTGCGGTGAGCTACTCTTCATTGTGGTGCACGGGCTTCTCATTGCGGTGGCTTCTCTTGTTGTGGAGCACGGGCTCTAGGCATGTGAGCTTCAGTAGTTGCAGCACACGGGCTCAGTAGTTGTGGCTTACGGGTTCTAGAGCACAGGCTCAGTAGTTGCGGCACACGGGCTTAGTTGCTCCACAGCATGTGGGATCTTCCTGGACCAGGGCTCGAACCCGTGTCCCCTGCATTGGCAGGCAGATTCTTAACCACTGTGCCACCAAGGAAGTCACTCTGTAAGATTTTATAGGTGAGGAATCTGAGGTACAGAGGGTCACCCAGCTGGATCCATAGCTAGCAAGTGGCAGAACTAGATTCAAACCCAGGCATCTGGCTCCAGAATCCATGCTAACTTAGCAATATTTAATTGCAGCAGTTAAAGTATTTATTTATTTTGTCTCATGGACTCCCATATCAGTGCTCTATCATATTATTGCCTTTTTAGAGAGGGGACACTGAGGTGTAGAGAGGGTACACCGGCTTCCCAAGGTCACCCAACACTCACAGGGCAGAGCCAGCCTGGAACCCAGAATAGACCCCATGGCTCCACTTTGCTCTTACCCTTACAGACTGCATCGTCCTCACCCTCACGGACTACACAGCTGTGAGGAGGACTCTCGTGAGCTCCTGCACTTCAGTCTCTGTGCCTCTCAGCTTGAAATTACACATGTACAGCACTTTGCATGTTGCCTGGAACATAGTCCTATTGAAAGAGAGTTGACTTCCCCATTTCTCTTTTCTGGAAATCAGGGCAGCACTATTCTGTGCACGATGCTCTGTGGACTGCCAGCAAGGCACAGAGTATATGCAGGGATCTGGAAGGAGACTCTGCTTGGGCTGCAGGTGTCTGGAGTCCAAAGGAGAGTGGCAGGGAACTTGGTGATCAGCTATTTCCCCTTTCCCACTGGAGAGGGGAGGCTTATGAACATGGCTACCAGTAGTTCCCCTGGAGCCATAGCAAAGCTTCTAGTAAATTCATAGAAATTAAGCTGCAAAGGACCTTACAGACAATCTAGTCCAAGGATGGCAAAAATATCTCCCTGCCATTATTTCTTCATTCCCTGCCCATTGCAGACATCACTGATGAATCATGGTACTCTCCTACCAAGCTTGGACCAGAATTCTCAATCCAGCACTCAAGCAGCCATCACTTGAGTTCATAAAGGAAATAAATCCTATTTGTTGCCCCCAAATAAAGTAAACCATGTCATTTTATCGGAAGTAGGCCTAGAGAGGGGAAGTGACTAGCCTAAGTGACCAACCTAAGGTCATAGCCAGTTAATGACAATGTAGGGAATTTAAGGCAGAAGTTTGGGAATTGGGCACCATGAACAAGCCTAGGAGGACCAGAATCCAGGTGTTGCAACTTCCAGGCCAGCCTCTTTGCACCACTTCAGCTGCTCTGACTGTCAGCTGACCAACCTAACTGGATGGTGTAGCAGGGATACCGTGGTGTTGGATAAGATGTGTTTCCTTTCTCATTCACAGCCCAGCCCTCCAAGGACAAGGAGGAGGAGAGCTTGAATCAGGAGGCCAAAGCCAAGCCTCAGGCCAAAGCAGAGAGCAAACCAGAAGGTGAGAGGATGGTGAGACCAGTGGGTTTTCTCCTGCCACCTTCCTCCCTCCTGTTAGCCAGGGACTGGGCGGCCTCCTGGCCTCTCTGAGCCAGGCAGCTGGAGTGATGAGCTGGTGCTCCCCTCCTCCCCGCTGCACTCTGGCCTCCTCCTTCCAGGGCGCTCCCCTCCTGGAGTGGCTGCAGGCCTGGGGGTGGCCCTGTTCAGCTCCCTCCGCACTCTCCTCACATGGGGTAGGCAAGGCCTGGCAGGGGTTGTTGAACTTCTATTTCAATCTTGTCCCAAATGAGATTCTATTGGACTCTATTTCTTCTTCCTGTCACTTCTGCACAGTGCTGCTAGGGAATTGGTCTGAGACCAGTAACCCCAGTGAGGGAGGGCCATCGGGGGTCTGGTGATGAAAACATCCAGCATCCGTGTGGCAGCTGGGACGCGGTAGTGAGACAGCTACTGCCCTGTGGGCTCTGCACAGCACACCAGGCCTGCCTGATCCACCCAGCAGCTTTGGAGAGAGGGAGGTAGAGCAGCAGTCATTGTTCCCATTCTATAGACAAGGAAACTGAGGCTCAGAGAGGTCAAGTGACTTGCCTAAAGATATATAGCCAAGAAGTGAGAAAGCCTGTACCTAAACCTAGATCTCCAGACTTTACAGTTCTCCCTCTCCTGCAGTCCTATTCCAAGACTCCCTAGCTGCTGCCTTTGAAATCATCAGGCTCCTCTCCATGCAACTGGTAGGGGGAAGGGTCAGGCCCTGAGAGCTGGGGCTTTGCCCTCTCTTTTAAGCTGTTCACAGTATCCTTGGCTACATTGCCAGGATGGAAATGTCTGAATACAGGGAGAGCAAGGAGAGCCACTTCCCAGCTGTTCTCTCATCTGCAGACATCTCTGTGGACAGGACAGTAACAATTCACATCATTTTCCTTTTCCTGTTAACAAGAAATTCCACAAACAAACCTTCTGTGACCCTGAAGTGGACAAGTCCAGTAGCCCTGTAACCGCTCACACCAGTCTCTGCCAGCTGCCCTCAGAACCTGGCACACTCTTCTGACCTATCCCATGTTTATCCTTTAAAGAGGAGGAGCCAGCCAAGCTCCCTGAGGTCACGGTCACACCAGCCCCTGCTCCAGACGTCAAGGGAGATCAGGAGGAAGATCCTGGCGGTCAGGTAGGCACAAGCCTCTTCCCAGGTGGTGGAATTCGAGAGGCCCAGGGAAGGATTTGCCAATCAAAACTCAGTCCTTCCTGAAGATTGGAAATGCTATTTGAGGTTCATTCCTCTGGTGTAAGCACTGCCCTTTCTTTGAAGATCAAATACCTCATGGGGCCAGTTAATTCACTAATACCTTAGTATGAGTAAGATAATATGTATGAGAATGTGTTGCCAACCTGTGTCCAATCAGCTGTGGCAGGGAGAGGTGGCATGCTTTGACTCCAGTGTGGGAGAAGGGAGCTACCTGTCAGGGGCTATTAGCAGTGACAGTTCTCAGAGAAGAGGGTGCAGGCTGGGCAGACACTCCTGTACCTATCAATTTAAATGACTTGTCATTTCCTCCAAGAAGCCTTCTCTCCTGATGAGGGTGGGGAAGGGAGGGAAGAAATTATTTCAGACTCAAGTCTTCTCACTCTTCATTCCCAACTGAAAGCACAGGCCTCATGGATATTAATATTTGACTTCTTCATTGGGTGCTCTGAACCCTGGTTGCATATTAGAATAATTTGGGGAAGGTTTACAAACTGCCCAGGGCCCACTTTCAACCAATTAAGTCAGGATATCTGGGTTGGGTCCTTGGGCATGAATGTTTTAAAATCCTCTAGGTGATTTTAATATGCAGCAGAGTTGAGACTCATTGGGCAGTGTTGGGGGTTGGCAGTGTCATGAAATTTGTTATGGATGACGTGCTCCATGAGCACACAGCCCAGGTCATTTGCTCAAGGGATTGGACCAGCACATTGTTATAGGTCATTTAGGAGCCTAATCTGAGGACCCTCAGAATCAATGGCTTTCAGAGTGAGTGGAGTCAGTCCATGGTTCCCACACACCGGTCTAAAGATGCATTTATTAGAAGCACTTGTGAGCATATTAAAATAGATTCCTGGCTTCCAGTCCTAGAGATTATACTTCAGTTGGTCCGGGGGTTGGGGGGCAAGGAAATCTGTATTTCTAATAAGCTCTCAGGCTACCAGGTTTGGGAACCAAAGATCTCATTCGGCCCTGGCATTTGCAGAGCAGGGTAGCTTGGTGGTTAAGAGGCCAAGAGTTGGACTATCCATATTCCAATCCCAGCTTCATCACTTACAAACTGTGTGGACCACAAGCAAGTTATTTAACTACTCTGTACCCTAGTTTCTTCACCTGTCAGATGGATTTAGTTCTGCCTATATCATAAATTAATTGACTCATGAAACATACTAAGTGCTAGTTGTTATTATTATTATACCACTTAGCATGATGCCTGGCACATAAATACCCTCAGAAAATCGATATCCTCCTCGTCATCATTTACACATATAAGGTAATAGAGCAGTTGAGGAGTTTTAATGGACTCAGCAATGTGATGTAACCACCAAAAAATATCATGTCATTTTAGGCAACATTAATGGAAGCACAGTGTCTAAAATAAGGGGGGTGATAATCCTGTTTGACTCTGTGAAGTGTTCTGTGTTGTTTTAGAAGCCTCCCCATGGGATATAAGCTAACTAGAATGAGTTCACCAAGAAGGAGAGGAGGCTCTAGGCCATAGTATGGGGGAACCATAGAAGGATCTGGGAATCTTTAACCCAGGGAAGAGAGCTGTCTCATGGAAGAGTGTTATGTATGGCTCCCAAGAGTAAACTTATACACAGGAGGTAGAACTTTGGTATAAATATGACTTCAAACCAATCAGAGTTGTCAAGATGACAGAAGCTGCTTTAGGTGGTGAGTTCTCCATCCCTAGACATGATCAAATAAAGACCAGACCACCACTGGGTAGGAGTGTTGTGAAGGGAATTTTGCTGAATGATTGCACTAGTTTCTTCCTCATACTCAAGCTTTTAGATACATGCTGAGAACAACAACAAAAAATGTGGGGAGAAACTGTGGGGAGAAACAAGCAGGGCAGTTATTTCCCATTAATCTGTTGGCTTTGGATTGCAGGGAGATGTGGCTGAAGCTGAGAGCACAGGTGAAAGGACAGATAATGAGGTTAAAACTCCTGGTGAAGGTGAAAATGGAGAGCAAAGTGGAGGTGAAGCTCGACCAGCAGGTGAAGGTGAAGAAAAAGGAGAGAATGAAAGTGAAGGTGACCTCCAGGCAGAAAGGAAAGGAGATGATGAAGGTGAAGGTGAAATCCAAGCAGGAGAAGATGGTGAAATGAAAGGTGATGAAGGTGAAACTGGAGAGCAGGAATTGAATGCTGAAAATCAAGATGAAGCCAAAGAAGATGAGAAAGGTATAGATGGTGAAGAGGAAGGTGATGGAGGTGAGAGTGAAGATGAAGAGGAGGAGGAGGAGGAGGAGGAGCCTTTGTCCCTGGAATGGCCTGAGACCAGGCAGAAGCAAGCCATTTACCTCTTTCTTCTGCCCATTGTGTTCCCACTGTGGCTGACGGTGCCCGACGTCCGGAGGCTGGTGAGTTTGCCCAGCTGTCCCCAAGCTGTCTGTCCCCAGGGAGGCTGCGGGGGTCTCTCAGCACTCCCCCTCAAGAGGACGGAAGGGACAGGACAAACCAGCTTGACAGGGCTCAACTACAGAGAGGATCTGGGATGGAATCTGCAGCTCTAGTGGGGACCATGCACCTAAGGGGACACACTGATGGGCTTGGGAGGCCTCAGAATGTGCTTGTTTCCATTGCTATAAGCGATGTGAACTAACCCCTCCTCGAATTCTCAGTTTCTTGATTTTAATATGGGAATGATGCCACTGCACACCCTCCATATTGCACAGGGATATTGTGAAAACCCAGGGTGATAAGTGCTGTTTCTACCCAGTATTCCTGTTTATAAGGAAAGGTCTGACTAACATGCTCCACCCAAAGGGGAACCATATTCTGTCTCTGGGTCCAGAGAAGGGTGGGGTGGGGTTACGAGAGGTCGCTGAAGCCAAACCAGGTACCTAGATTGGTCTGATTCCAGGGCAAGCAGGTAGCTCTCTTCAGTTTGGCAACTGCTGAATCCCCTCCTGTGTGGACTCTCCTATGGGCCACCAACTCCATCCTTCTCAAGGTCCTCACTGGAGACAGAGATGGAAGCTCAAACATCTCCACATCCTCTCCATGACTCCTCCAGCAGATCTCTTCACTGATACTGGGGCTCCCTCAGAAGGGCCAGAGACCTTTAGCCTCTGCAACTTATTTCTCTTCCTTTTCAAACAGGAGGCTAGGAAATTTTTTGTTATCACCTTCCTGGGATCCATCATGTGGATAGCCATGTTCTCATACCTCATGGTGTGGTGGGCTCACCAGGTGAGTGTGTGGCAGGAACTAAATCCTGCATTAGCAGGTCAAAAGGACTTTTTTCCTTCAGGGTGGATTTCTGGTACCCAGGGAATAGCGAGGACCAAGTGAATTTGTAGTCTATACATTGTAAAGGCTAAAAAGTAGACTTTATATTCCAGGGAATGTAGTGCTTTTCAGGTGTGGCTCTTCTGTCTTGTAGCGTGACAGAAGGCCCTTCACAACCTGATCTAGTTGACCATTTCCTTCTTAGCATTATTCCCTGCTTCCTCTGTTCTGTATCCCACACTTCTCTCCACCTGGTGAAATCATACACACTCATGAGAGCAAGCTCAGTTTTGCCTCCTTTCTGGCGTTTAATCAGTCTTCTGAGTGCTTAATGGCTTTGCTGTTCTACCTAGAATATTGCACTTAAGCACAGAGCTGTATTATTATTTACATGCTTTTCTCTTTCAAGCTGAGAGTAGGGTCAGTGTTGTACTGCTCATACTTCTACCTCCAGCCTCTAAAAAGTTCCTGGCACATAGCAGGTGTCCGTGGTTCTGGAAATGGAAACTTGACACCAAGAGGCCTTTGGAGGAGCAGTTCTTTTGGGAAGGTAGGGGTGTTGTAGTTGGAATGACAGTAAGTGGTATCATAGGTGGACTTTTACTCCAGTTTAGAAAAGAGCAGCATCGTTCCCTGAAGCCTTGAGCAGGGGCCCTGTTCTTTCTCTCCATGGCCCATCTCCCCAGCTGTTAGTTCTGCTGTGACCCTACCTCACTCTGGCCAAGGGAATGTGAACTCTGTGGAAGATGTTGGTTTTGCACAAAGTAGTATGTGGTTGGTGCTTTGAAGAGCCTCAGATTTTTCACTTGGTTTCTCATTACTGTTACTATTTACCAGGTTGGTGAAACAATTGGGATTTCTGAAGAGATTATGGGCTTGACAATCCTAGCAGCAGGCACATCAATTCCTGACCTCATCACCAGTGTGATTGTCGCTCGGAAAGGCCTGGGAGACATGGCCGTGTCAAGCTCTGTGGGCAGTAACATATTTGATATCACCGTGGGGTGAGTGGCAGAGTTGCTTTCTAAGGCATGATATGTATGACTGGCAAACACTGTGTTGGCTATGTCTGCTGGTTTTTTGCTCCATTCATTATACATGGAATAAAAGGGCATTTATGTTATTAGCTTCTGCAAGGCAACAAAGTATCCTCCCTTCATTCATCACAGCCAGATAGGATAATAGAACTAAAATGCTGCCTGAAATGTAACTGACTAGAATTTATAGATGAATTGAAAAATGAAGTCCATTAAATTCCATTACCAAATACAAATGCTCTGCTCACTGACCCCCAAGGTGGAGGAGGTGGGGTTGGAAGAAGCAATGACTCAGTCTTACTTCCTGACATTCTTGCTCCTTTGCATTTGGACTCCTGCTGGCTCAGAGGTTCTAAAAGCATTTTGTATAAACAAGCAAATGCTGCGTACTCCTGTATGGGTTTGCTTACCTTGCTCCTCCCAACTTTGTCAGAGCAGAGTGTCCGCGCTGTTTTCCTTTCCCCAATCACGTTCTGGATTTGGGTGGTGGCTTTGGTTTCCTTAATTTGTATATGTGTGTGTTTGCAGGGTGGGGCAGGTAAGAGGGCATAGGAGAGCCCTGATCACTAACGAATGTAAGGAAATGTTGTCCTGAGCTAGGCCTTATCCTGATTTAGAGAGTCACACATCTACCAGTTTAGGTTAGTCATACAGAAGTCATGAAGTATGACGAAAACAAACTCAGACCCGGAAAACCTGTTTTAATCTTAGGCTCTCCCAGTTATCAGCTGTGAGTACTTGGGCACATAATTCCCTGAACCTTAGTTTTCTCACCTGTGAAATGAATGTTTTCTGCTCTATTTCACAGGTTTGTGTAAAAATGAGTGCTTTGTAAATTGTAAAATACTGTTAAGTATATGGCATGATTATAAACATTAAGAATATTCACATTGTTTCTTCCATCTTGCAGCCTGCCCCTTCCTTGGATGCTTTTCTCTTTTATCAATGGATTACAGCCTGTTCCTGTCAGTAGCAATGGCTTGTTTTGTGCCATTGTTTTGCTTTTTCTCATGCTCCTGTTTGTGATCTCTTCAATTGCGTTATGCAAATGGAGAATGAACAAGATCCTGGGCTTTACCATGTTCCTCCTGTACTTTGTATTCCTGATAATCAGTGTGATGTTAGAAGATCGAATCATATCCTGTCCTGTGTCTGTCTGAGTCAGTCACTGTTGCTCAAAATGGACACGGATCAGAAAACCATGCCAGAAGTTACTGTACCACTTGTTACATTAAAGAATGAACATGATCCAGGAGAGTGAACTGAGTGGGCAGGAGCCTCTGATATGGATGTGATTGGGACTGAAGTTTATCCTTGGAAAACACCTGCAGCTCATTGTGGATTAGGACTCTTTGGAGGGGTGGAGCTCCTACCACGCCTGATGCAGACAGCTAACACATGGGGGCCAGCAGAAGGACCCAAGTCAGAGGATTTTCTAAAATGAGATATTTGGGAGTGAGGGTTGGGACAGGTACCTTAGCAATCAGATAAGCACCCATGTTCACAGTTCCCTGATTATTCCTGAAGGGCTGCTGATGCAAAAGATGCAGGTGTGGTCTCCATCTCACCCTCCTGGCCCCTGCCCCCAGCACATGCTGCAGTTTACTGTCTCCTCTTTTTCTGTTCAAAACATGTGGTTCTATCAGATTTGTATTCATTACAGGTTCAGTTACTGGTGAGTTTAAAGGAGCAAAGTCTATAGGAAAAAAAGTATAACAGGAATCAATTATCATTACACACTGTAGTCCAGTAAAATGTGTACCAATATTTTATAGCTTAAAAAGGAGGACTACATTTGCTCTCGTTGCATTTCTGAAAAGTCAAATTAAAATAAGCAGCTCAAGAAATTAAAATTTATAATTTGCCCTTCAATTGGAAGATGTGGGTATTAGGGAAGGAGAACTACTCTGAGGGCTATTTAAAATTATGTATTTATTAGGAAATCCAAGTTAGTGTTGTCTCCATCAGGTGGGTCACCTTGAGGGATTAGACATTCTAACAAAGCTGTCCTGGCTCTGTGCCCCTCCCCTCTCATATTCTCACCCAACAGTGACAGCTGCACTAGTGAGTGAGAAAAAAAGTAGTTTTTAAAAAGAGTCTAAAGTCAGTAGAGCCAAATCTGGTTTACAAAGTAAGCGATCCAGTGGGGCAATGCTATTTTTGTATGTCATCCTAGATAGGATTATAAAGCAAGAAGATTGATTTCTTGTGTGGCTTACAAGTGGATATTAAGGCGATTACAAAGGAGAAATTCCAAAAATGCTTAAACAATGACAAGATGGTAAGGAAAAGAGTATTACTACTTCCACGGTAGCTGATGTAAAGGACACCTGTGTGTTTTAAAAAAAATTATTTTATTTATTTATTTATTTTTGGCTGCGTTAGGTCTTTGTTGCTGCCCGCAGGCTTGCTCTAGTTGTGAGTGGGGGCTACTCTTTGTCGCGGTGCACAAGCTTCTCATTGCGGTGGCTTCTCTTGTTGAGCACGGGCTCTAGGCGTGTGGGCTTCAGTAGTTGTGGCACGTGGGCTCTAGAGTGCAGGCTCAGTAGTTGTGGCCCACAAGTTTAGTTGCTCCGCGGCATATTGGATCTTCCCGGACCAGGGCTCGAACCCATGTGCCCTGTATTGGCAGGTGGATTCTTAACCACTGCGCCACTAGGGAAACCCGACACCTGTGTTTTTAAAAATTGTGTGGTTAAACATTTCAGGTGGAAGTTGAAGTGCTTGTATATTAAATACCACTGCTTGCTGCTTTTACTGGCATCAGGTTAAGAGGCACATTAAAAATGAAACAGTGTGGTGGTTACAAAGCAAAAGGAGCTGAGGTGAATGTAGTTTACCATGGTAAATATCGCTTTAATTAGAAACATGAGAGAGGATTCACTGAAGACTAGAAGATAGCAGGACAAGTGTGATGTGGGAAAAAACCCAAACATTTTGGTGTTGAAAGGCTGTGTTCACAGTACTTCAGTCCATAATCCATCTTTTAAGACGGGCTGGTTAATTTAATTCATGACCTCACTACTCCAGGACTCACATTCTTTGGAATTGACTTTCACTAAATTTCAATAAATTGTGAGTCCCAATGATATTTTACAAAAATGGACGTGTTCATCCATATCTTTAGGTCATTTAGTCAGAATGCTCGAGAGAAGACTGGTGAAGAATATGGGATCATGTTCACATTGCATATTCTTAAATTAGTTATCTTCATTCCTGATGCTGCCACACTGCCTGGTCTCCATATGCCATGGCCTAAGAACAGGAGGAAAGAGCAGTGCCTATGGAAGGGAGATCCCAATACCAGCACTCTGGGCACCAATCTGGTATCTGCCACCAATCTCAGCTGGTCTCGAGGATGTCACCTCCTCACCGACAGCCTGGGAGCTGGTGCTCTTCCCCAGAACGACTTATGAGGAGTGATGGACAGTGAAACATCCTGTAAAGGTAAAGTGCTAGGCTGCCATTTGATGATTAAAATCGACTCTAATGGTTGAATATCATTTTTCTGATCCGTTTGCTAAATTTCTGACATTTCTCTTTGCCTAGAAAGGAAGTTCTGACTTCACACTATGTAGAAAAGAGTCAAAAACAAAAATGAAGGCTGGGTCTTGATGGATGAGCAGCTGGTGGGGAGAAAGGAGATTTCAGGGAGATGGAAAACTTACGTAACTTCTAAAAGATCAATTTGTTATGCTTGAAATAAAAAATTTTGCAATCCATTATAAATCTACAATTTATTAAAATTGTGCTTTTTTTTTTTTTTTGCGGTACGCGGGCCTCTCTCACTGCTGTGGCCTCTCCCGTTGTGGAGCACAGGCTCCGGATGCACAGGCTCAGCGGCCATGGCTCACGGGCCCAGCCGCTCTGCGGCATGTGGGATCTTCCCGGACCGGGGCACAAACCCGTGTCCCCTGCATCGGCAGGTGGCCTCTCAACCACTGCGCCACCAGGGAAGCCCAAAATTGTGCTGTTTTAGAGGTAAAGTACCATCTTAAAATGTCAAGATAATGGTTAGCTGGTCCTTTCGTTTGATGGGCAAGATGTTCTGCATAGCTAGTTACATGGGACAAATTCTAGGTCTTTCATTCAGCAAGAAAGTCAGAACTGTCCTACGTGAGTGTCTAAATTGGAAGGAAGTGGCTGCACAGATGATTTCTCCTTCATTCCCCTTGAGGCTGCATTTCCTTGATGGCCCTGGTGATAGGTTTGGGCCAAATTTATAAAAATGTAAAACTCTTCCTAATTTAATGGGTTACGATTCTGTGTAGTACCAGAAAAAAAAGGATGTATTCCAAATTTTAAAAAATTAGTATATGTTTAAATGGTTACTGTACATTATGAACATTATATTGTAGTCTCATCAGTAGATCTGAAAATGCTTCTGTCAAATTATAGGCTTGGCCTTTTGTGATACTCTGAAAGTATCATAAAAATTCTATATCCTAATAATCATTTAAAGATAAGTACCAAAAGGGGCAAGAATTGGAATTTAATATTTAAGACACAGCCTGGTAGATACATTTGAAGAACTGGTTGGCCTAATGGGCCACAGAATATCCTTGGTTCTGGCCCCCTTCTTTGTGGGAGGGTCCCCCTGCGGGTACAGCTTGTAGTGTATTTTGGGCCTGGTTACTATGAAAGGTACAAAGAGAGAGGGCCAATGATCAGGGTTGTCCATCCCTGTGGGGTCACTAGAACCAGGCAGGACACCCTGGTCTAAGGCTGCCCATACAACCAAAGCATACTTCTGGTCATCAGGCCCTTAACTGTGATGAGCCGGCAAATCTGGAGAATTTCATTTACAGAAAATTCCATCAGTTGCTCCAATGGTTTTATCACAGTACTGTGTTTGAAAAGAAAATCTTTAAATACAAAAGGAAGGAGCCATCCAAATGAACAGCAACTGTGGAAATGCTGCAGTAACTTTATCAGAAGAGTCTGTTATCTTACACAGACTTTTTGAATCAGAGACAGAAATTCCTATATTAATTTGTCCAATACTAATTTTGTAAACAAAAATAATTAAGCCAGCAAATGTACTTACTTTGGGGTCAGAAAAAGAGGGCAGTATGAAGGGATAATAAGAAGATACCAAGTACTGAGGGTATTAAGGTAAACTGGTATGCAGCTACCAGAGAATTCAATTCTGAAATAAAACTTTGTCTTGTATCCAAACAGGAAGGGCAGAGCATGCTAAGACTAGCACAAAGGCAGACCACGGACCCTCTCAAAGAGGCAGCCTACTCTTT